GGGGGCAAAATTTGCAGATGATATAAAACTACTCAAGATAGTTAAATCCCAGGCAGACTGTGAAGAGCTACAAAAGGATTGCACAAAACTGGGTAACTGGGGAAGAAAATGGCAAATGAAATTTAATGTAGATTAAATGCAAAGTAATGCACATTGTAAAACATAATCCTAATTGTACATATACAAAGATAGGGTCTAAATTAGTTGTTACCACTCAAGAAAGTGATTTTGGAGTCCTTGTGGATAGTTCTCTGAAATCATCCACTCAATGTGCAGTGGCATTCAAAAGAGCGAACAGAATGTTGGGAATCATCAAGAAAGGGATAGATAATAAGACAGAAAATATCATATTGCCTCTATATAAATGAATGGTATGCCCACACCTTGAATACTGCATCCAGATGTGGTCGCCCCATCTCAAAAAAGATATATTGGAATTGGAAAAAGTTCAAAAAAGGGCAACAAAAATGATTAGGGGTATAGAACGGCTTCCATATGAGGAGAGATGAATAAGACTGGGACTTTTCAGCTTGGAAAAGAGGCGACTAAGGGGTGATATGATAGAGGTCTATAAAATCAGGAGTCGTATAGAGAAAATAAATAAGGAATTGTTCTTGTATTATGAGAAGGAGTAAATAACAAGAGGCCACCAAATGAAATTAATAGGTAGCAGGTTTAAAACAAACACAAGAAAGTATTTTTTCACACAATGCAATGTCAACCTCTGGAACTCCTTGCCTGTGGGTGTTGTGAAGGGGAATACTATAACAGGGTTTAAAAGGGAGCTAGATAGATTCATGGAAGATAGGTCTATCAATAGCTATTAGCCAGGATGGGCAAGAATGGTGTCCCTAGCCTGTGTTTGCCAGAAGCTGGGATTGGGTGACAGGGCATGGATCACTTGATAACCTGTCTGTTCATTCCCTTTGGGGCACCTGCCATTGGCCACTGTCAGAGGACAGGATACTGGGCTTGATGGACCTTTGGTCTGACCCGTATGGCCATTCTTCTCTATCTAATCATGCATATCATTTCTTGTTTGTGCTCTCTCTCTCTCTCAGTGGACCCATGTCTATATCACAAAGCCCCCACAAGGTGCGTCATGGCTACTGTTCTTGTGTCCCAGTAGGTATTCCCACGCTTGCCTCCTCCTGTTGAATTTATTCATGCCATCGCTCCTTGAGC